CGCGGAGGACCTGGGTGATGGTCAGTGCGAGGGCGGGAGGGCTGGACGATGTGCTCAGGGCTTCACAGCCCGGGTCACCATAGGGTCATCACCTGGGGTCTGCGAGGGAGGTGTGGACGGGGCTTCTTACAAAAATTAGCACCTTCAGAAACGACTACATTAACAGAGTTATTATAAAGTAGGTTTTATTGTCTGAACGATACTTGTCATCTCTTTTCTATTAAGAGAGTCTGTGTGTAAATTTTCTTGTTTTTTTGAAAAAATTAATTTTAATGAACGTTTACAGAATTTTGGGTTTACATTCTTTCATTGCTGCACTTTTCTCTTTTCCCACCCCTACCCCCAGTCACTCTTTTTCTTGAAAAGAAAAAGAAAAATTGTTTTATCATTATGCTGTCCCTCCCCCCAAGTGCACAGCACGATGCAGCCTTCCCTCTAGACTTCTGTAATGACAATATCCATTCATATATCCCTTTTAAACAGTTCACTCCCTCATCTGTTCAATGCAATAGACATCATTCCTCCCCTCTTCTGTCTTTCCTCTACCTTGATGTCAGTCCTGTTTTACAACAGTGGCACTACTATGCAGTATTTGTCCTTTTGTGACTGAGATACTTCACTCAGCATGATGTCCTCCAGGTTCACCCGTTTTGAATAATACTGTATGAGTTCCTTCTATTCCATTGTGTGACTGTTCCACAACTTTTCTAGCCATTTCTTTATTGATGGCCACTTGGGTTGTTTCTAGCTCTTTGCTATTGTGAACAAAGCTACAATGAATATGTGTGTGCATATATCTGCTTGGGTTGCAGTTACGTTTTCCTTTGAGTAAATTGCCAGTACTGGAATTGCTGGGTCAAATGGTATTTCTACTTGTCACTTTTTGAGAAAGCGCCATACTGCCTTACATAATGTTTACACCATTTTCAATTCCCACCAACAGTGAATACAGGTTCCAGTTTCTCCACAACCTCGCTAGCTTTTGACGTTTGCTGTTCTGTTAAATTTTGCTATTCTTACAGGGGCGAGTATTTTATAAATTCTAGATATAAGTCCCTTGTCAGACATGTCATTACCAAATATTTTTTCCCCATCTGTGACTTCCCTTTTCATCTTGTTAGAGATGTTTTTTGGATGTGCTTTGGGATTTAATTATTAGAACGTCCCATTCATCTATTTTATCCTTGCTTGGTTTTAGATAAGAGATAGTGTTTTAAATTTATCAGAGGTCTTTCACATAAATTGG